CCAACTGGACTACCCCGGAGGATAGCATTCAGCTTTAGTACAAAGGGCGCCATAATTTCCACTGAGCTCAACTGCAGAGTCGGCCGAACGCAGTGGAAATGCAATTTATGATGCAGGTGTTAGCAAATAATTTAATATTCCAAAAAAAATTCGGTCCTGTGACTCAATTTGGGCCCCACGGATACGAAAACACAGAGTTAAGACTCATCAGCTGGAGACTACGCCATAGTTGGCCAGTTGGCACTCATCAAAGACAGGTCATGGGCTTTTCTCGACGGTCTGGCATCGCTGCGACAGGAGATCAGAGGCCCTCCTGGAACAGTCACGCGCCTGACAGGACACGTCGCCACACCTCGAGTTATTTCGGTGATATAAATTCATTCATTCGTTCTTTCATTCATTCATTCATTTGTGCATTCTTTATGTGAATCGCTTTATCTTAATGAACCACCTAATTTACCAATAAAACTGTCTAAAAACTGGCAGCAGAAGCCAGTGGTCAGGCAAAACGATCATTAACAGTTATAAAAACAGACACTGACTCCTAATGCCGGAAACACTCGCCGGAAGTGTCTGGTTCCGGTGTGGTGACCCCGACCTCGAGGGTGGATCAGCTGGCCACATTTCTGTCTCACACGACGGCCGGGTTCTCCGAAAGGGGCGAGCCCCAAGGACGCACGTTCACCATAGCAGAGGAAAAGCTGAGTTTGTGGAACGCAGTAACAGTTAACTATGCTGAAAACATGAGTCAGATAACGGTAGATACATGAAGCCGCTACCGTGAAGAGAAACGAAGCTGTTCGAGAAACCGCTTTACGCTTGTGCGAGCTACACTATGCATGAGCTACAGCTATAAGTTGCAAACTACAATATCCTCGTTGAGATAATTAAACATCTCAGCTTTTTTTAAATATCACAGCTCTTTATGTATGTTACTTATTCGGAATCTAATTAGCACCGTACGCCACCATTCGTATCGTCCACGGATAGACGGCGGCGGCCTGAGCCGTGCCCCGACGTCAGCAAAAGGTCACAAATCGACTGGGCGCGCCTCGTCCGAGCCTGGACATTCCAGCAGCGGAGCTGGCAGCGTGTTTGCACTATGCACAGTGCAGACCTCGGTGCATCACCCCCTCACCCCCCCCCCTCTGCGGTTGCAACCAGTCGGTGCGAACCTGACCTGTCCCACGACTGGATGGGGGAGGAAGGGGGGGGGGGGCGGGCCCGCCACCCGATAGGTCGATGGCTGCTTACACTTAGGACCGGCGTCCACCTGAGTGCAGGCAATCGCCAGGGTAAGCTCTAGGGCGCCAGAAACGCATAGCTTCGTTCAATCTCGTCACGGTAATTGATCGAATATCTGTCCCAGCTGTCAAACGATCACTTGCACCACTTGCGGTCATTGCGACACCCCCGGCAGCAATATTGCAACAGCACACAAATGTTGCATCCGTGCACGAAAACCACCGAAAGTCAGACGGTCGACCATTCGTAACAAATTTTGTCGTAATAGCACAACCCATTATGACATCGTAGGTTTTCTTTTTGTTATTAACAACCAGAGGCGAAAAGGCTTTACGGCCTGTCGGGCTGTCGGTCATTCACCGTAGGTAGTTGCAAGCCGCTACCTGTCTCGTAAAACTAGCCCATGGACCCCCAACGAGTTGATCTTCATCCTAACGAGCTGGCAGACTGGCCAGGGAAGGTCGCCCTGACCATTTTTGTGCTGGCACCTGCTGATCTTACCGCTATCGTGGCAATAAAGAGTCCCATGGGGGCCCGACCCACCTCAAGATAAATTTTGCTACACAACGGCGAAGTTGTCGTAATATTTCCACAGGCATCTTTCTGCGCATGGCAAAAGGGTGACTGACGCCTTATCTAAATGAGTTAAAATATTCCCCTCCCCGAAAAAACATGTAGGGATAGGACCGTTTACAGGATCGTAAAATGTCGCAAATAATCGTAATAAAAGGATAACGCATAGAGGTGGCAAAATGTGGACCCGAGGACCCGGTCCAAAGAACCAGTCTGGACCTACATGGGTCCAGACCGGTTCCTGGAAATTTTCTGACGGGTCCAACCGGGTCCTACCATAAACTATACATCTTGCACACTACACATTATTGCAAAATATGAAGTGAATTAAGTGAATGTGTTTTTGCACACAGTAGCTCATGAGTATTCCCAATTGGAAATACGCTGTTTTACATGATGCAACTAATGATGACTACAAGTACTTTGTATTAATTGACTTTTGGGGAACGGGTCCAACTGGTTCCGATTCCAACTAAGACCGGGTCCGACTGGTTCCAGAAATGTCCAGCCGGGTCTGGTTCGAGTCTGGTTCCCAAAATTTTCATCTTTTGCCACCTCTAATAACGCAGCTAGCAGCAGCAAGTCATTGATGCACGGATCATCCGAATTCCGAGGTCATTCTGCATCCGCAGGCAATCTGTGGGCATCAGACTCTCATAATTCCCAACGCGAGTTGCGGCGGCCCCGGCGGGTGGCCTCTCTCGAGCACCCCCGGGGCAGGGGAGGGGGCGCGGGGCGTCAGACAGAATTTCGGCGTCACCGTCTGGGGCAGTCAGACAGCCGTCGGCGGCGACGGCGACGGGCCGGTGACCGCGTGAGCGTCGCCTTCCGGTGGCGAACGGCCAACTGCGCACCGACTGAACGGGACAGAGATCAGGGAGCGACCGCTCGGGCGTACCGTCGCCACCGTCACTGCGCGCCAGACTCGGACTTCCAGGCAGTCACCGCAAACTAGACTTTGACTCGAGTACCGTCGTTATTGACCTTAGACTCAGACTCTTAGACAGTCACCACACACCAGACACAAACTCGCATACCGTCGTTATTGACCTAAGACTCCAGACTCCTAGACAGTCACCGCAAACCAGGCTCGGACACGTCTACCGTCGTTATTGGCCTCAAGACTCAGACTCGCGCCTCGCCGCCGCAACCCTCACTGACCAGTCTGTGCAGGCACCTCGTGTAACACACCAAACTGCACGTGTGGCTGTCACTTGGCCGGGCCGAGCAAAGGTGCTGAACAAGCACCCCAGACGCACGCGCGTCTAGTCTGAGCCGCTCGGCTTGCGTCATCCGTGTTTCAGTTCTTCAATTCTGGCTGACGCAATGGCAACGCGGGGATGAAGTTAACACGAGGGTTCCTGATCAGCTTTCACGGAACCTTCACGATCTCGCTTTGATCATAAGGTGCGCAATTTATAACGCCGACGATGACAGCTTTATGAAAAAGGAATGAAACATTTCTTTTCAATTATAAGTCTACAAAGCGTCGTCGAGTTTCTACCTTTGAAGGTTTAATATGATAAAGGGACGTCCAATTACGTTCGAGAACATAGTGCAACCGCCCGTGTCGCGCCGACGTCGCTTGTGCCCCCACTGCACCAGAACTGCCATTTGAAATGCATCATCCGGTCAATCTAGTCCCAAGCACGATGCATTGCGACACACGGGACTACAAAATCAGACCGCAGACGATACTGGTTTCAAATCGAGCCAGACGATACGGGTATAAATTCAGATCACAGACCCATCCACTGTCTGGTCACAGTCTACGACGTGGCATTGACCGGCGATGCCAGGGTTACGGATAGCATTCGCAACACAGATGTCTCGGAACAGACAATAGGCCTGCAAAGCTGCTCTTTGTGATGAGATTATTAGTTTCGTTCATTGCTTTGTAATTACGTTATAAGGACGGGGTGCTAGCTTGGAGTATGGACACTGCAGTGACTGGTTATTGGGCTGCTGAGCCATGCTCCTACCAATATTTCCATTTTTGCAGTGGATGGCGTACGCAGTATGCTGCCTACCGTGTGTATTATTTATAGCGGGGAAGCCCTGTCACAGTGCCTTCAGCCGCCACCACCTATCGATTATTCAGAGTCTTATGGAGGCCGTCGCCAGCGACTTACGAGCGTCGCAAATGTCTTTCGTCGCGACACACAATCCTCTTGAGGGCGGGGTAGGTCATGAAAGGACCCGTGGCCATTGTGGACACACTTCAGCGTGTCAACTAGCAGTTAACACCAGTCAACTTTCGAATTTGTATGCCTGAGCAGACTTGTTCGTCCACGCTCAACCGCCAACTTTCCATCCCCGTCCCTGCATGGCGAATCGTCCAGCCTTCCCCAAGGCATGTCGCTGGGACCACAGCACATTTCCTGCAGCGGTTCACTCACGAATATTGGACCTGAACAGTGAACAGCGGGTTCGATGCTGTGCTCCGCTGGAAATCGAGCTCAGTCTGCACCCAGGGACCCTCTGCGCCCCGGGGCCGGGCCAGGGTCGGGCCGCGCAGGGCCGCAGCTCCAGCCGGGCCGGGCGCCTGCCAACGACCGGGCGATGGGCACGAACACATTTCGGCAGCTCCGATGGCCCAATCCGACCCGGCCAGACGGCCACGGCGACCCCGGGCCTTTCGGTGACGTCACCGTGACGTCATAGTCGGCCACCATGACCTAGGGTTATGTGGCGGCATGGCGGTTAGACGACCGTCGGAGAGCCGAGAGACTGGACGTGAGAATCGAGAAATGGAAGAAGCGCAGGATATGTGGAGCGAAATCAGAGTAAGGATAGTCCAACTGTACCGAATAGAAAATCGCTCAACTAGAGCATGGCTTATCCCTGGAAGAGGATGATATTTTTTATTTCTGAAACTATCAGGAATCACCACCGGCAAGGTGTTGCGAAAAGCAGAACTTGTTCTTCCCGTCCAATTGCATTTCATGTAAGCAAGCACCTACGGCATGTACAGATGAATTATTTCGGTACAAATCATTCATCGCTGATGTTGCATGTCATAAAAAACATGGTGCTTAAAAGATGGCATAGAGATAGTAAGTTTTTCAGGGCTCAAGTCAATAATACCAAGCTCTCCCATTGGAAACGCTCTGTTACACAGATCCTTCACATGTCGTGCCTATGGGTCGGATGGATTGTTATGACGATGAAAGTTGACTTACCTGGGGATTGTGGAAGAACTCGTACTTGCCAAAGTCCTTCTTGAAGTAGAAGGACGAATTGCTGTGCGCAGTCTTCATGATGCGGTAAGTGTTCAACACATCCTCGTGATCCTCCACAGTCCTCTCTGGGGAAAGGGAGGACAGCAATCACTAGAACCGTACTGTTTCATACGGCGAGACTGGTTACAAACGTCATAACATTAAGTGCTGGATCAAAGGGCGCTTTCAACAACGGACGAAAAGTATATGCTACGCGAAATGTATGAAGGAACTTATCTCATTTCTTTTAAAATTCAAACCGTTAGTCCCTGTCGTTATCTGTTAATCTTACAAAGGCCCCGCTTAGGCTTTTATACGCTGATCAAGGGTAGCCTCCGACCAATTTAGTAAATGCATATGCGTGGAAAATCTGACTTAATAACTAGGTAGTTATGTCTAATGTTGAGCTGTTGAGCAAATGAGTTTTGAATTGGGGATTTGAAGCGGGCAACTACTGCATAAGGTTTTGGTTCAAGAAGAAAAGGTCAAATCAATTAACAAGGTACGAATAAACCATACATGTTCATTGTTCAGGGAGCAAGCCTGTAAAAGAAGTGAATCGTAGGGCAAAAAAAAATATCAGGGTCAACGAATTGACCAACCAGCCACATTACACTTGAACACCTGAACAGCCAGCGGGAAATAAAAAAGTTCCGTTCCAATTCAAATAGCTCGGCAGGTGGTGGTTTTGACCTGTATTAGAATCTTGTGGCCGCCGTGCCACTGCGGCGCCGCCGCCGCCCCGTCCAGGCTCGGGATGAGTTATATGGCATTGTGCGGGGCGGGGCCGGGAGGAAACGGCCGGCGGCACGCGCAGCGCAATTGTAAATTTAAGATATGGGGCATTCCACGATAGATCGTACCAGGCCCGTCACCCTCATCTCTCAGATTTGAATGAAAATTGGTACAAGGGGTAATCATAGGCTCCAAAAACACCTGCCAAAATATCAGACTTCTCAGATGAAAACTTTTTGAGTTACACTGCATAATATTTTCTTAGCTTCAGATTGTAAGGGTGAGTTTGTTGAGCTATAACTCAAAAACGAGCTAAGCAAGCAACAAACGGTAAACAGCTTTGAATTTACGATGAATCAAAGATAAATACAGTATTTTTAAAATTGGAAAGAAAAGCTTTACATATTGAAAAAAGTCGTAGTATTTTTTTAAATTGTCTATAATGGCCCTTGGGACCAAAATTTTTGCCATTTTTATTTCTTAAAAATAAACCTCAGGTCCTTTAAAATCGACATGCAAAAAATTAGAAAGGTGTTCTTTCTATAAGTTCCTCATTTAAATGTATACAAAATGTGTTTCCGGGGGGTCGGTACGACCCCAGCTCGCCGTTTCGCCTCTAATGAAGCTAGAACCTTGCGGAAAAAACGAGCATGTGCGCCGTTACAAGATGCATCGAATGATACCAAATTTTAAGGTCTCGGGTTCATTGGTGACCCCTGAGGTCATTTCAAGTGACCCAAAATTACGGGTCCGGTTTTTGATAGATAACTTCGCAACAAATGGTCGCAGAGCCGCGATTTTAGCATCTTTGTGTTTGCCTAGCTCCGGCGCGTCGAATGGTATACTGTTTGTTCTGGTGAAGTCAGCTTAAGTCGCTGACCTCGGGTAAGCACAGTGCCGTGTATTTGGCTCCGCGCCCCGACCGGGCGGCCCAGCCGGCAGCTAGCCGCCGGGCATCACGTGACCTCCCCGAGTCCGCGGCAAAGCCAACCAGCGCGGCGCTGGACAAACAGCGCCGCTACAGAGATGGTTAACAGTCGAGTCAGGCCACGAAGCTGGGTGAATGAGATCATTTTGCACATCATTCGATTCGCAAGGTCTTCCCGAGTCCATCGGTAGCCTTCCCGTCTCTCTAGCTCAATTTGATCGAGAGTTATTGACGAAAAACTCTTATGACCCTAGTGACGTACGAATGACGTCACGCAAGGTCAACAACGCAAAAGTGAGGCAAAAATGACTTCAATTGAACTTTCAGTAACCAGTGATGTCACTATGCAGCTTTACCACACAATTTGTAGGCTCTCTTCCAAAATCACAATTCGAGACCATTACGGTGACGCAAAATAAGTACATTTATAGAAAGAACACCTTCCTAATTTTTTGCATACTACTTTAAAATGATCCAAAAATGTTTTTAAGCAAATAAAAATTCAAAAAAATTTGGTCCCAAAGGCATCAAAATGCAAATGAAAGGAAACTCGAGGTGTTATATATAAAAGATAGTATATATTTCAAAATTTTAAAAATGCATATGATTCTTTGTTTCAATGCAAGTTCAATGCCGTATAGCATTTGGCATTTGGATTATCCGTCTTAGAGTTACAGCCCGCGAAACTTGGGGCTGCAACGCAAGATCCAAAACATGTTATACACTATAACTCAAAAACCACTCGTCTGATAAGCCTGAAATTGTTACAGGAGGATTCAGAGCCCCTGATTACCCCTTAGACCAATTATCGTTAAAATCCGAGAGATGAGGGTGTCAAATTGGAAAAAAGTGGTACGATCTATCGTGGAATGCCCCATATGTCATTTAAGGCACGTAGGCCGCCAAGCTGGCGCCTTCCGTCACCTCGTCGCTGCTGTGCAAGTTCGCACTCGTTTTGGGCGTGTTCTAGACGTTTCGTAACCTGTTGAATAAAAGGTGGGTCACGTACGACCCCCGGCCAGTCTGGGCCGGCGCGCGACGGAGGCAGCTGGCAATACAACGGCAATGTGGACGTAAGGAGTTTACTACAAGCTATTTCGGCCTTGGAAGACTGCCGTGATGGGGAACGAGAAGGAGACCTGTGATGGTTCGGACGCTGCGGCTGATCTCCGCTTAATCCCGGAGTTTGACGGTGTGTCGCAGCCCGTGTGCGAGTGGCTGGACAAGGTCGAACTTGTGTGTCAGCTGCGCGGCATCAAGGGACTGCACGTCGTCGTCCCGCTGAGACTCACTGGTGGTGCGTTTGCGGTATATCAACAGCTCGGAGAAGATGAGAAGAAGAAGTACGAGGACATCAAAAGGGCCCTGACATCGGCGTTTGCTTCGGATCGGTTTGAAGCCTACGACCAATTTGAACGTAGAAGGCTGCGTCCAGGTGAGACGGTGGACGTGTTCGTCTCTGAGCTGCGCCGGCTGGCTGGCTTGTTCGGAGGTATGCCGGACGACAGCCTGGCCTGTGCCTTCGTGGCCAAACTGCCAGATTCAGCACGCCGTGCGCTCCGGGCTGGATCACGGATGGAGGACATGCCGTTTAGCCAGCTAATCGGTCGCGCTCGGGCCGTGCTAGCCGACGAGGAAACAAACACCGCGGCCGCCGCCGCTGGCACAAGGACTGGAGCACTCCCGGCCACAATGAAATGCTACTCGTGCGGGCAACCGAACCATATCGCCCGCGACTGCACGGCAGGCCGCGGACAGCGGGGCCGTGGAGGCCCCCGTGGTGGACGGAGCCTCGTGAGGTGCTACAACTGCAACCGGCAGGGGCACATCGCCTCTGCGTGTCCGGAAAACGACGCGGGAGGGGAGAGATCAGCGCCAGCCTCCTCTCCTGTCGACCAGTGAACGGGGCGCTGCCAGTCGCGCAGCTGTCGGTGGACGGAGCGAGCTGCAAAGCGCTGGTTGATACAGGATGCAGCCAGTGTGTAGCTCACGTGTCAGTTTGTCGGAAGTGGAACCGACGCCCGGTGAGCGTGATGACAGTGAGTGGAGGGCGTTATTGGTGTGAGGGGTCAGGCGTGGCACGCGTGCAGCTGCGGTCCGGTGAATCAGTGTCCGTAGATGTGCTCGTCGTAGCACGTAAGCCACTGGGGTTTGAGTTCATCCTCGGGATGAATGGTATCAGAGCACTGGGTGGCGCTACAGTGAGTTCGGATGACCGAGTCAGATTCGGAGTTGAGGCAGCGGTGTCTCATAGAGCGGCGTCAGTGGCCTCACCCGGTGACCGGGTCAGCTGTGATGGTGAGAGGACTGGGGTGTCGCGTGCAGTGGCAGCGACTGCACGGGTGAGTCACGATCAGGCGAGCAGTGAGGCGGCCCCAACGTCAGGTGCAGCGGCGGCAGCTGCAGCTGCAGCAGTGAATCGAGCTGACAGCAGTAAGGGGGATCCGGTGTTGGGTGCGGCGGCGGCCGCCGCACCGGCTAATCGAGCCGACGAGAAGGACTTTGTGGTGAGCTTTGATGAGACAGAAAAGAAGTGGTCGGTGGAGTGGAAATGGTGTGGAGGAAAGGAGCCCGAGCAGCTGCACAATACAGCAGAGGAGTACGCGATTCCAACAGAAGCCCGACACGAATACGAGCGAGAACTCTCCAAGTGGGTGGCGAATCAATGGCTCGTCCCTTATGATGAGAGCGTGCACGGGAGGGTCAAAGGCACGATCCCGCTCATGGCGGTCATCCAACCGAAGAAGGACAAAGTGCGTCCCGTCATGGATTTCAGGGAGTTAAATACGCACCTGGACCCGCATACAGCTGACGCGGATGTTTGCAGTGAAAAAATCCGTGAGTGGCGTCGGTGTGGACGAAACGTGTCTCTCCTAGATCTGCGAGACGCTTACCTGCAGATCCACGTGCACGCATCGCTGTGGCCGTATCAGACTGTAGTGTTCCAGGGCAGACGGTGGTGTCTGAGCAGACTTGGCTTTGGGCTCAGTCTCGCACCGATGGTGATGAGAAAGGTGCTGGAAATGGCCCTGAAACGTGACCCGAGGGTGCACACCGCTACATCACCTTACGTGGACGACATACTCGTAAATGAAAACATCGCTACTGCATTGGAGGTGAAGGGTCATCTGGAGGCGCTCGGTCTGACCTGCAAATCCCCGGAGAAGGTGTCAGAAGGTGCTCGTGTCCTGGGCATTCGAGTCTGGGGGGAGCGGCAAGGACTGTTCTGGAAGCGGGACAACCAGGATCTACAGCCGCCGCCAAAGCTGACGAGGAGAGAGGTCTTCTCGCTGTGCGGACGTCTGACAAGTCAGGTCCCGGTGTGTGGCTGGCTGCGTGTCTCCGCATCCTACCTGAAAAGACGCGCCACTGCAGCGACAGACGGCTGGGATGACGAGATCACCGACCCAGAACTCCAGAAAA